TGATTGCCGCATTCTAAACGGGAGCCTCCCTTGAAAATTGGGACAATGACGGAGCGGTTCTAGTCTGTCGGGACTGTCTCCTGCTCCCAAAGTTTTACTAGCAACTCGTGTAGATCATCTACTAGAGCAGGTCCCCGGAATTTGAAGAGGGCTGGGGGAATTCTATCTGCCCCTGCGGCCTTATGCAATTTCAACAGCCTGATCTCACGTTCGACTTCTGTGCGTGAGAGCGGATCCAAGGAGACGGCCCAAGGAGAAGGGCGCTCAATGCCCGAAGAAGAAAGCGATAACTCAGGTTGGTTAAATTGCCTAGCAAAATGTTCAGCCCAACGCTCCAAGAGTTTTGACAAGCTGTGGATCGGCTGCCCACTCTCGTCGCGTATGGTCTCGCTAACACCAGGTCTCCTGCTGCCTGTTTCCCGTATCAGACGGAATAACTTATGATGATTACCAACGGCAGCGGCTGTTTCCATCTCAGAGGCACGATGAGACCACCAGGTTTCGCGGTCCTTCTTTAGGCTAGCACGTAGTTTTGCCCTGAGATTTTTGCGAGTCTCATTGTATTCGCTTTCAGCCGGAATACGTCGGCCAGCATCCATAAGTTCCATAGACTGTGTAGAGAACCAATGTCCGGTTTGGCAATTTGCTTTTCTACATGAAGACATGCCTGCTAACAGCAACGCTTGACAAATATGCGACCAGTAATCTTCAACGGTGTTTAGTGGGCGCTTACTCAGCCCAGATCTCAGCGTACTTTGGTACACATTCAGAACATCTGGCTTCGCCAGCTGGCTGGTGTCAATCCATGCACATCGACGTTGCGGACGTCCACCGAAACGCACAAGGAGGTCGGCACAGACAAGTGCGTGGTCAGAGTCCACGCTCGTGCCCCAAATCGAGCGACAGTTTTGGACACAGCCTCTCCAGCGGTAACTGATCGCGATATGATCGATTTGCGTCCATGGCTGGCCCGAGGTTGGTGCCCGCCAAGTCACACTTCTGCGGGTGCTGTGTCGAAAGTTTGTCCTCGCGAGAGAGGCAAGCATCTTCACACAGCTGTATCAATCGCTCACTATTATCATTACGGGAGCCTACACCATGTTGGCCGCCCAGATGAAGCTCATCAGAGGACAAATTTCCGACTTGGGCGTTTAGATCGCCAGCCAACACCACAGTATCCGTGCTTCCTCTGTAACGAAGGAGCTCGTGAAGTTGCTGACAGAAATCATCTTTTACCGTTGGTTGACAGAAAAACATTTAATTTTCATCCTACAATACGAGACCAGGGATTGGGACATTCATGTGCACCTAACTTTGGTGAACAAGTAGGCTGTTACCGCGAGGGTAAGACAGAACGTTGAATGGATACTTAAGTTTATTTCCCTACAAGAGTCAATGTTGCGCTCTTATATATCAGTTGCTAGACCCACGCTGAAAGTGTTCAGTGGTGTATAGTAACAATGAACAATGCAAGAAACAATGCAAAAAGGGCATTAGCAATAAGCCATACCAACGCTTCGCTGCCACGAAAGCATCACCAGTCGCGCGTGGGATAAGGGCACTGCGAGGGTCGCCCAGTCCCATATGCAGGTTTAAACCCGCGACCTCCGGGTTGCAAGGCCGACGCCTCGACCTTTCGGCCAAGGACCGGCAACCGTATTGCATTAGAACTAGTACACAGAGCATACACACAACGCCTTTTAGGTGCTTCTTCAAAGGTGGTCAAGGAGCATGAAGTACGATCGGAATGCGGCAGCCATAGAGGAATCAGTCTGATCTCCATCGCCTCCAAATTGCTTGCCTCCGTCATCCTTCACAGACTGACTGGCCCTCGTGAAAGCCAGATTCGTGAAGAGCAAGCTGGATTTCGTCGAGGTCGTGGCTGCATTGACCACATCTTCACCTTGCGTCAGTTGCTGGAGCACCGGCACACATTGGCGGCCCACCGTAGTCGTGTTCCTCGACATCAAAGGTGCCTTCGATTCGGTTGATCGATGTGCCCTTTGGAAATGTCTACTCAGGAAAGGTGTACCTGAGAAATATGTGAATATTATCCGAGCATTATATGCGCGTAGCTCGGGCAGAGTGAGGGCTTACGGCAAGTTGTCGTCGCTCTTTAATATCTCCAGCGGCGTGAAACAAGGATGCCCGCTGTCACCTTTCCTCTTCAACTTCGCTGTTGACGAAGTCATGGAGTTTGCATTTACAGGACATGACTTGGAAGGTGTGGATCTGCTCCCAGGAGAACGATTTCTTGACTTAGAGTATGCTGATGATATTGCCCTAATCTGTGACAGCTCACAAACGTGTCAAGCTGCACTGGACAGATAAGCACTAGCTGTCCGTCACTTCGGGCTTTGCTTTGCACCCTCGAAGTGCAAAGCGTTCCTTCAAGATTGGTCTGGACCGCCCCCTACGCTGACCCTTGGTGGGGATCAGCTAGAAGTCGTTCAAGAATTCAACTACATGGGTAGTTGTATCATCGCCCTTGGGATTGAGGATGAGATCATGAACTGTATCGCAAAAGCTCGAGGCGCCACTTATGGCGCCGGCGCGACATCACTCTTGCCCTGAAGAGTAGAGTGTACAATGCAGCGGTACGTTCGACCTTACTGTACGGTTGTGAAACATGGCCGCTCAAAGCAGCGGACCTGAAGAGGCTAGTTACGTTCGACCACCGGTGCCTTCGTAATTTAGCTCATATCTGGTGGGAACATCGCGTGAGCAACGTGCGTGTTCGACGCATTTTTTACGGCACAGGAAAAGGAAATGAACCGCTCAGCACCGTCATTTCACGCACCAGGCTCCGATGGCTCGGCCACGTGTTACGCATGCCAGCCCACCGACTCCCGCGACGTGCGTTGTTTGCGCGCCGGGGGTGTGGATGGAAGAAGAGGAGGGGTGGCCAAGCGATAACTTGGTCGAGAGGAATGAAGGCCCTCACTTCTGAGCTGGCCTCGGTTAGAGCGTCTCGGCTCCCTGGTTGGGGTCCGAAAGACGATGAACACGTTTGGTTGGACACACTTGCTGATATGGTTAAGAGCCGACCACAGTGGCGTTCGTGTTGCGAGTTTCTTTGTCCCACCCCATCCCACTTAGCCTCCCCTACAACCACGGTCTCATTATTTAGCCTTATATAATGTTGTCTAATTTTTTGTTGCACAGTAGCCGGCTGGTAGCTTACTGGAACGATGCCCATCCGTTACCGGTAGCTTAGCCGGCTTACACCAGTTGCATTTTTTCTCCTTTTTTCTGTGTATTGCGGCACAGTAGCTGAGGTGTTCCCCACCTCTAGCTAACGTGTATGATGAGCATGAAGCACAACTTGTCGAACTTGTCAGCATCTTGCACAGAAATATATACGTTCCTAGCCTCAACACTGTCATGCTTCGAGGAATTCCCTTCCTTTTGTGTTCCTCCTAGCAGTAAGACTTATTTCGCTCCAATCGATGCGCTGAAAACGAGGAAACTGTGCAGTGGTTCGTACAACCTCTTTAATGCTTTTGTATCTTTGTTGACAGTCTCCCTAGATGATCGATATAGTTCTTAATGTAACCCCAGCAACCTATCTTGTACACAAGATATCGTAGTTTGTGGGATCTAGGTCCACCTGTGGGCTTCGACAGAGCTCTACCCAGTGACAGTTGCTTTATGAGCAACTGTGAGACCGTGCTGTTCAAACAAGCTTGCAGTCATCTCGGAGATGTTCTTCCATATAAGGCAGAACGATTCGCATTGCAGTTGATTTGGTAGGCTAGGTCGTAACCCCGCTCTTTCGATTTCACCCGGCGAAACTGCGTGGACACCAGTGTAGGAGAAATGGTGTGAACAGATTTATCCCTTCATTTCTCATTGCTGCTAGTGTGCTACAATGTGTTTCAATTCTGCGAAAGAGTGCGCACGCAGCTTAATTTGTGGCATTATGGGTGGTTGCTGTAGTAGTTCAAGATCTGGTCGATGCGTATGTTCTTCCTGTAAACCGACGTTTGCAACTCCGTCAAGCCTTGGTGACTAACATGTCGAAGAATGGAAGCTTGTTTTCTATCTCCGATTCCACCGTGTACTGAACGTCAACCATGTCGTTGTCGAGCAACTGGCATGTGATTTCGTATCGGTTGAGATTCAGTAACCTGAATGCAGCACTAACATAGTGGATGTAAAACTTCGGGTTTACTTTTGGCATCAGATACTCGTTTAATGCCACGATTGGAACAAAATAGAAGTCCTAGTACAAAGAAGAACGCGAAAAGAGGAATACTTCAAAGTACGGTACTCTACGAAGTCTACGAAAAAATCCCGTGTAGACATCGATCCAGTTTACCAAATCGTTATTGGTAGCCAAAACCATCAACAGGAAACCGGAAATACCAAAGCGAGCTTATATCATGGATCGCGCAAGTCTACCAGAAACTTATGGTAAACGGGCGAATGTCAAAGGGCATAAACTGAGGAGTTCAATGCAAAAAAAACCTGTGTAGTGGGTTTAAAAACAACATGGTCACACTCCGAAAAGAAAGAGATCACTGCCTCCTGCTTAAATGGCTATTGTTGTTTCCCTTTATATTCCCCTATCGTTTACGGCAGTCTGGCACTCCTTCATATAGCTCGGTACTTACTACCTGGATGTCATAATATCATCCAAACCATTAGTATTTGCTTTGCTTTTCAGCCTCATCGGTCTATTGTGACGGACGCGAAGTAATCTTGAATCCCGAGTCGAAACAGGCGTGTGGCATGCACCTCTCTCGTTCACAATGAGTTCGATTCCGACCCACTGGGTCTTACGTACCTTAGGCACCTGCTCCTATTAGGAGCCTTGCACGTTACATCTGCCGGACGATCACAGACCGAGTGCACTAGAAACAATTACGCACCGAGAATAACACTTTGTTTGGTGACGAAAGGTTTGCAATCCGGCTGCCAAACTCGGTGAGCATGTGAAAACCAGAACGTTCAACCCGTGCTATTAGTATGGTCCCTTTTAAAATATAAGTGATAACTCACCGGTATTCCATATGCGGCCAGTTAGTAAACGTCAAACGCCTAAAGCCCTCAACGTTCATCAGAGATGTTCTCCAATACGCCATGGACATGGCTTCCACGTCCGAAGTACATAGGCGTAGCAATCGATAATTCAAGCAAGGAGTAAGAGCAGGTAGAGGAACGCCGGCCAACTCATGATGCTCAGAAAATACCTGGAACCAGGAAACTAACTTGGAGAAAGCCCCTTGTATGCTGACAGTGTTGAACTAGAGATGAAAAAGTTCGTTATTATACCTGCGCTCATAACAAGAATACCTTAGAGTCTCTGTGAAAATCAACCTCGCAGCGCTCAACATTGAGGCAAGAACCTTTCAGTGTAGGCTTGTTTTCCTCAGTAACCAACATGGCACTCAACCCAGGTAACTGGTCGTTTCGAAAAGATAGTGTAGTGTTTTGCTCCGGGGTTTCAATTGATCCGCAAAGAATGTCGTCCAGGAGGATAACATCCGCGTAATGAGAACGGGCATTAAATGTGGTACCACAAGTGACCACAAGGCAACCACTGTTTCCCAAATAACAAAGAGATAATTTTTCACCTGAACACGGGCTAAGAACTAACTAACAACTCACTAGTGTTAGAGAGAACAACACTGCGCAAGAACCGACACGATGACCCATCAAAAATGTGCAAAACGCTATTTGTGTGACAAAGAATTAAATTCAACGGGGGATAAAAAAGCACACCAGTCAGCCGCTGCTGAACTGGGACCGTTAATCGGCCAAGTAGAAACATTGAAGAAGGGAAGCGCCGAAATACTGAAGCATCTAAGCGTAGGATGGCCGAAGCCAAGGTCGAGTGAGTTAGGTCAAGTGGGATTGGAACAACAGGAGTATCCCGTGAGCATTTCTTCTTCAGCGGGTTCTTGAACCAGTAGCTGGCAGACATTGAAATACAGACCAAGCTAAAATAAAGACCGAATCACATCCTGTCCAACCAATTATTGCACACGTTTCCCACCATAGCAGTCCCTGCTGGGCTAGTTATCTGAAGTAATAAAGAGCGACAAGGAAACCCCGAAGTAAAGCAGGGTAACCGTAAATAGCTAAGCAAGTAAAATCCCACGATATTTGTGTCATTAGAAAGAAAAATTTAAAATGGTGGATGTGTCAGTTAGGAAAAAGGATAGGTTTGGTGTACTATTCAGATTCAGATGGGACTATAAAGATAGGAAAATCTTTTGAGCGTTCTTTCTTGAGCAGATCGTTTAGCCAGGAACTGCTAAAGTGCTAGGAGGTATTGATGGATATAGCATGGAACATCCGTACCACACACGGGTCCGTCAATTACTGTCAACGTTCCCTGCACTAACAAACCCCGTTATGTAGGTCTCGTAAAGTAAGGGATGTAGAAAGAAAATGAACGATAACGAGGAAGGAAAGTCATTTAAATGAAGGGTAACACCAACGCGTGAGGTGGATGACAGAATACGATCACTGACCTGGAAGATGGATATAGTCAGGAGAAGGGAAAGGTTTCGTGTTGCCACCCAAGTATGTTCAACTGACGTTTGAAATCATTAAACGTAAGTTCACTGAATATCCTTTCTGGAACCGAGTTCCAGGCCACACTAACTCTACGCGATAACCGAGTTTGCGCTCTGATCCGGTCGGAATGCGGCTTGCGTAGCTTCATTGGATGACCGCGAAGACAAAGCAACCTAGCCGGGCTAAATATCCAGCTGAAGTCCGGTCTAACCTTCCCTGTTATAATGCGGTAAGTAAGGATTAGTTCTCCTCGAAGCCGTCGGTAGTGCACTGAATATATACTTGGGCTAAGTAGATGCTCGGGGTATGATTGCCCTCGTAACCTCTCAAACAATTTGGTACTTACTCTTAAAATTTCTGGAGCTACATTTTGTCCCCAACAATGTAGGGCGGGCAAGCCCGGACACATCATTCCAGATGGGGCGGAACGAAAGCTGAGTCAGCTTCACAAATATCTCGGCAGTTAAGACCCAGCAATAACGGCGTATCATCCACGACATTCTGCTACCCCTACTAGCGGCCTTCTGCCAGTTGTCATCAGAATGCAAAGACAAGGAATGGACGACACCTAGGTCAACCTGGTTGGAGACAAGTGGAGTTCGACCCTACCGAGCACGTACCTCGAAGGTTGGAATGCTGCTGCTATACGAAGGACGGAACACAGCTTTATTAATGGGCAGTAGCCACGAAGTAGACCAGTCCCGAATTCTGTCCAGGGCATGCTGTATAGCATCAGAACTCTCAGGGACATTTACAACATTCCGTAGCGTAAGGTAAATAGCAAACAATAGGGATGCTACCCTAAGCTCTCCAGGGAGATGTTTGCGTAGACGGAGAACAGCCCTGTGGGACACCGCTAAGGACCGCTTGCCTAAAGGATAACCTGCGACCCACATGTACGCACTACTCTCTTCCCTGCAAGCATGCAGTAACCCAGTGAAGAGCGCGGCAAGATACGCCGTAGGAGCTCAGCTTTTGTGCCAGCCTTAAGTGGGGTACTTTATGAAATACTTTTGATAAGTCAATGCAAAGCACAGCCACTATGTGGCCATTGTCTACTGCTATGACGCAAGCTTAAAGAGCAATTAACAAATGCACCAGTCACAAAAACTCCTTCCGTTATCCATGTTTTGCACTTAAACTTATTCATGTGACCTACCAACAAATCCCTTACCAGCTTTTCAAACATTTTGACCACGAAGCTAGTCAGACTGCCACCCTATATTTAGCTGTCATACTCCTGTCGCCAGTTTTGATGGTACGACAGATAACAGCCTCCTTGCATTCAGAAGGTAATGTACAGTTGTCAAGTGACTTCTGAAACATCAAAGTCGGCGGTCCACTTAGTTCCACCGCACCTCATGCGGAAGCTTCTGGTGAATTGAATCAGTTCCAGCTGCGTTAGAAGGGTTCAGTACTTGCAACAGCCTTAGGACTTGCGTTTCAACCAAAGTAAACTCAGCTAAATAACTACTCTCAGGCGTTCCGGGGACAAGTTCAGCGCTAATCCACGCGGCCTCATTTACGAAAGCCTTTGCATGCTGCTCCCCACGTACAGGAGCCTTGTCTGTGTCCGCATACCCATGAGTTCCATCGGCCCGCGTCAAAGTTGGTAGTACGGAATTAGAACCACAGCACCAATCAACATAAGCAAAAAACTTCTTTGAATTTTTCGAAGCCTTATCAGCCACTTCCTATTCGTACAACAGCCAAGGTTTCTTCAAGGGATGTTTACACCTACTCCTAGCCTCGCGGTACCTACCATAGATGCTAGTTGATGGAGCCGCACAGTTGGTCCTCCAGCACCTAGAACGCTTCGGGAGCAGGTACTTGCCAGCGGTATCTATCCACGGCGGCCGCGCTCGTGTCTCCTTTCCCCTTGCAAGCGGGATGTATGGAGCAGACACCTCCGTGAGATTCGACATATATTTCTCCTAGGTCGCCTGAACCGTATCAGCAGCCGCGATTGCGCAACACCACCCAGAAGCCTTGTACGCATTGCCTGATATTTAGCACGCCATATGTTTGGATATGGCTCAGCGATGGTCTGGTGCCGTCTGGCCCGAGTACACCTGAATGATAAATAGACATGATCACTGGCACTTAAGTATGAGCTATAAGTGACGTCATCTACAATGTCCAGTGACTTGGCAAAAAGTAGATCCTAATATACGGTACTTGTGCATCCAGGTACCTAGTGCGGAGGTCAACGACCTGATGCAACGGTACTTATGAAGTAAGCTCAATAAGCCCTGCACCGAAAATGCCCTCCGCCGAGTTCCAAGAAAGACCTGCTTAGCAAACTTCCAGTGGCTTGAAGTCCCCCAGTATCAAGACCCTGGTTGTGGATTGGGAGAGGATAAAGTCAAAAACCTCTTTGGACGCACCCCTAGGGCTTCTATCCACAAGTACACCTGAAAGTTGAGCTGAAGATGTGCTAATAACTACCGACAGAGCTTTGACAGTTTTACCTGCCGTCTGAAACATGTAGGTACGCGAAACGTAAAGACCACAGCTAACATAAAGCGAATCGCCCCTGCCTTGCCGGCCAATGAAGCGAGCCCAACTAAATAGTGCGTAGGCAGATAGATGTACTTTCCTGTCCGTGAAGTCCTGGGACAGCCACGTTGCAGTGACTGCGAGATATCGGGATGAGACCCAGCTATAAGCAGACCTATCATGAACATCTTATTCCTTAGGCTGCGCACATTGCTTAGCACTATTAGTAGGTACTTCTAATGTCCATCGCTGGGTCGTGCGCTACCAGGACTGGCAATGGTAGCGTGCATAATAACCGCCGACTGCGCACTCCAGAGCCACCAAGCGAAGACCTTGTTCACCGGCTGCTCGCCAGGTTTTGAAGCCTTTGGTGGCCTCTTTTAGCTTTAACCTCTCCGCAAGTGAGAGGTCTGTCTGAACCCTAACATTAGTACCCTTCAGTTTGAAGGCAACCTGTAATAGCGCGTTGCATTCCTCCGAAGTGTACAGGACTACACGAAGTAAGCGCGGTCGAGCGTTTGGGGCGTTAACTGGGGCGTTACCCAATCCAGTCAGTTTTCTGACAGTGACACAGGGAAACCCAGGCGAAAGAAGCTTCTTTAGGCTTCTTTATTATCGCCAAGCATGTAGTGCGTTGTCGGACCCCCTAATTCTATGCGTACTACTGAAGTATTGCTGAAGTTTATTGGCATCAGCCACAGAACGGACTAATCAAGGAACCTGTCAAGAGCCTGTTGTAGAACTTGGAAGCACTCGGGGTAGCTCACCTTGCAACAAAACTTCAAGTCCTCGGAGAACATGACGGTAAGCAACCCCAGCAGTTCTGGCAGTTCATTTACATACCTAGCAAATAGCATTGGACTAAGAACTAAGCTCCGCGGGACTCCGCCCAGAACTGCCCGTCGGAAAGCAAGACTGGATCTCACCCGAACACTCACTTCTCACCTTTGAAGAAATGCGGGCAGCCATCGAAGCTCGCGCTCGGAACCTCAATAGGAAAGAAGCTACGGCAAGGACGGGTTTGCAGGACAGAACCAACCGCTATGGGGAAGTCAACGAATAGCAAAGCCACTGATTGACCCTGATCGACAGACTCCGCTCAACTTTCCCGAGCACCCATCAAGTTGGTCAGGCAGCAGTACCCTTTGCAAACACCATGTTTAGATGGGCTGAGAATGCCAACCATCATTAAATGGTTTTTGAGTGTATCCATCAACAAATTTTCTAGCGACTTAACAATGGGTGCTCCTGCTTGAACGGATCCTTAAGCCTGGAGGTATTGGTGTTTATAAAACGAAACACGATAATCATCCAATTACTGCCCACGTTTACGGGTGTGCCTTTCAATGGAGAAATATGGCTTTTAGGTGGCAGAAAGCTATTCAGGGGGTCAAGGATATGTTGAAATCAACCCTTTCTCCGTAGGCCCAATGCTGTCCACAAACGATCAGAAAGTGGTGGTTGTGCTTTCAGTGCTAACGAAAGCCCACAGATTGAACGCCGGTGTTATTGCAGAAGAGGCTGCCTTGGATGAAGCCTAATGCATAGCAGTTACGTAACCGTTATTCGCATTAAAAACGTTATACAAAACTGGCGCACAGTGTCTTATCAGGGTATTGAAATGAGACGCGGTTAGACATTTGGGCTGCTTTGCTGGTAAAACATGTTATAAGCCAACTTTTTGGAGAAAGAAATTATAGGAGACGAATCATGGATGTATGAGTGTGGTTCCAAAACCGAGCGGCGCGC